GATCTTTTCGTTCAATTGGATATCGAATTTTGTAACTCGGTTTTGTCCGCAGTCTTGTCTAGTTCTGCTAGCAATTCGCCAAGTTTTCTTTCCAAAGCGGTTAGTTTTCGTTTTAATCTATCCTCGTTTACATTTAGGTTGTCTATTAAACGTTGGACGTCTATTTTTACCTTCGTAATCTTATCGTCTAATTTAGATATTAAATTTTGCAACTGACTTGTTTTATCCACTTGAATAAGACGTTTCAAACTCGTTAACTCTTGTTGTAGTTTGGGTTCGTCCACAAGATTTTTAATATTTCGTCTGAGGTATCTTTTCACGTCATTTATTCTATTTTCAACATGGTCCTTATCTATTTGAATTGCGTTTATTTGATCCAGTAAATATTTTTTGTTCACAGCATCGTTATCGTTTCCTGGAAACTTTAAATTAGTTATTTTGAAATTGTTCATATCAATATCCCCTTGTAAGGTGTCTCCGATTTGATCCACGAAAAAAGGTTTCGCTTTGTTTATAAACGTCGTCATGGGATTTTTGGATTCTAGAGGTAAAGACCCTAATCCAAACTTGTTTGCCATTTTTATTGAGTTAAATTTATTATAATTTCTTCAAACTTTTCTCCCAAACTCAACCGATATAAAACCCAAAGCGACAGCTGTCCACACAGCTTTTGTCCTGGCATTTGAAACGTAGAACATTTGATTGGCTTGCTAGTTATTTCGTTATCTCTTCTCTCGGTTCTAGACCGAAAGAATCAAAGAAATAAAAGTTATTCGAAGAATCTTTGTGTAAAGCAGAGTGATGAACTCCTTTTTGATCCGAAGTATGAATGTTTGTGATGGCGTAAAATTTACCTTTCTTGTATTTCAGTTCATCAATTTCATCTCGCATGCAATAATAAAACGGAGAGACGTTCAATTCCTTGGCCCATTTCACAAGTTGAAAGTTTGTGGTCATGTCTTTTCCGTATTTATCGAGAAATGCATTCATTTTTTAAGTTGATTTTTTTTAGGTGTTTTTCGAAGTAGGCGGTAAGTATTGCTGAAGACCCAATTGACGAAATATATACGTAGTTTGTGTTTGAAAAAACTTGTATAACATTCTGATAAAACACATTCAATAATATTTTGAAGATAAATTTACATTTAAATTTAAAAAATCTTAATTTAAGAGAGCGTAAATGCTTGTCGACATCTAAATTTCTTAACCTTTCATCTAAATCTTCATTTTCGAGATTCATTTTTAAAAGTCAGTTTTTTGAAAACCTTCCTATGATTTGTTCTTTGTCTTGATCGATTAATTCATACGTGGGAGGTGATGTGGTGTTTACTTTATCAACGATGAATATCTCGTTAGTCCAATACCCGACGTAACCTTTTTGAAACAATGATTTATATTTAAAAATACAAATTCGATCTCCAACTTTGAATTTGGGTTTAATATTCAAATTGCTAATCTCGTTTTCAAAGTTGTTTCGAGTGTTGACAGACTTTATGATATTCGGGTTATTAGAGGACTGCGTTGGCGTCACACCTATAGACGAATGTATTTTGTTATTGTATCCGTCGACAACAACTGGTAATATTTTAAGCCATTTTTGAGATTTCAATTCCGTGAATTTCTTGAATAATTTGCTTTTAAGAGTCCTGTTGAATCTTTCTATCACTACGGCCTTACCTTCGTTATGCGTGCTGTAAATTTCAAACCCCAGAGATTTCACATTTCTGTTGTAGAATTCGCTTCCTTTATCAACCCACAACTTTAGGGGTCGTCTGTCGGATTGTTTCATTATGGATTCGAATGCTTGTTTGACAGTCAGACCCGATTTGTTTTTCAAGGGAAAGACCCAAGCGTATCTCGTGTATATGTCGATCACCGTCAAACAATACTTGTACCCTCTCTCGACTGGCATGTTGATTAAATCGGCTGACCAAATTTCATCTTTATCAAAAACTTTGACTTTGAGGTAATGTTTGTTTTTTCGAAATTCTTTGTGAATCTCGTCTGCTATGCCCATACCCAATTTCAATTTTGCCTTCAAGAGTTTTATGATAAGAGCCCTCTGTAATTTCTCTTTGAAAGTGGGATTGGGAATATTTTCGAGTTCGTCTATCATTTGTTTGTCTGCTTGGTGTCTGAATGTTACGTCTTTGTTTCTGTACAGTATGTCGTGTTTGAGCGCTGCTGCGTCAACTCTATTAACGGGTTCTTCCCCTGGTTTGGGATTATCATTTTCGTCTAAACGCAGATCTAACCTAGTGCCTGGACCTGTATAATTGTGCCCTGGGAGATGTTTTTCTCCGGGATATTTTGCCCATGGGAATCTAGGAAGAGAACCCAATGACTTTTGAATGTCTCCCGCACCGAAATACGTTTTAGGAGGGTGGACATTTATTAAAGACATATTTGTTCAATAATGAAATAAACACCATATATTTTTAATACGAAAGATTTAATACAAGGAGGAAATTTGTTGTTTGAGACAAAATTGGCCACTTTAGGGATGAGAGATGTTAGCGCAGAGAAGAAACCGTCTCCTTCGAATTTTTTTGTTCGTGTTTTAAAATTAAAGACATTTTTAATGCGGTTATTTTATACTGTATTATTATAGTGATTCTTGTCTGTGGTTTAGGTAATTTATATGGAGTCTGTTATAATACAGTTTGGAGGAGTCTGTTATAATATATTTTTTTAACAGTTTGGGGAGTCTGTTATAATACATTTTAACAGTTGTGTCTTTTCGGATATGACGCATTGAAAAAAGCTGCGCATGCGCAGAAGTGAAATGCGTTATATCCGAAAAGACATATACCTGACATCTCAAAAACCGGATCAAACTGGATGCGCTATATCAGAAAACACATATACTACTAGGGCAGACCACTAAATGGGGGGACAATATTGTCGAAGTTGAAAACTCCCAGAGATCGTCTGAGAAAAAATTTGTGAAAAAATAAGATTTGATTTGTTGCTATCTGTTGCATTCTGTTCCCCTACTGGCCCGCCACTGAATTGGGTTTTGAAATAAATGACGGAAAAATAGCCAATAGACATACTGATAATACTTACATACAGTTTCTAGCAGCTAAATCTCGATGAACAAATTTGAGTCGTGTCAAATATTCCATACCCTTGGCGATATCAACAGCAAATAATACCAAATCTTTTATAGTTGGAGTCTAAAAAATATCCCGTTTAAAATATTATATAAAATCTAAAAAAGTTTTTTTTTAATATGCATTTTCACAGCGTCGAAACAAATAAATGGACAGGAAATTTAAACCAGAAACATTTTCAACGATATTATAATGAGAATAATATTTCACAAATATTTACGTTTAGGGGATTTCTGATGTACGTGAGTAGATCTCCATTCTTCATAAATGGTAAAATAACCAAAGGTAATGAATCTTCTTCCAGGCAGATACCAACTAATTTTAACACATTTTCATGAGAGAAATCCTTCATTATCAAAGCTTCTTCCAAAAAGACGTTCAACTCTCTTTCATCCGGTAACCTCTCTGAATTATATTTAAAAAAACACAAATTTAACGTTCTTAAAATATTAATTATTGGTGATATTTAGTAAAAGGCCAGACAGCTGATGTCTGAACGAAGAACATATGTATTAACAAAAGTGTAGTCTACTTACTTCTGAGGGTTTTTACAGCTACGTCCTTCCTGGTAGTACCAGCATCACTCTCTGGGTTGAGATATGTTGCCTTGTATACACATCCAAAATATCCTACAAGAAAGTAGACACAGTATTACAAAACACAGAAACAGAAAATATGCAGAATACAGGTTTAACCCATGGTTTAACCATATTCCATTGAACCACGTTAACCACGAATGCAGTACTGACGAGATTTTTTCAATATTTTCACTGCTGACACATGTTTTTAAATTGATTAAAGTCAAACCTTTTCCGATTTCTTCTCCTATTTCGAGATGACATCTATCAATGATTAAATTATCTTTCTCAAATAATGATAATGTAGAATTAGTAAATCTATCTGAAGATCTGTTATCTGTAATAATAATTCCAAAATGATAATTGACTTAAGTTCAAAATTTACCGTACGCATACAACATCTTTGTTATTATCCTTTTAAGCCGAAACTTAGCTTAATCTTAATTTAAATTAAGTCAGTTACAGTCTGCTCTAGAAATACAACAAAAATATTAAAAGGCAATGGTTATGATCAAGTTCTATGAACTATTGAGAACTTTGCATTGAAATTAAATACCCATGTCCAAAAATATCACCGTACTACCAGTGATTCATCAAGCAAACCTCATCAGTCATTTGTCCTTTGGTCCCAAAAATTCAACAGAAAGCAATATTTTTGGTGGTGAAATGATGGGCATATCTCATGCCACTTTGTCCACATTGGACACACATTCAAGAAAACTGCAAAGATATCACAGCAATTACCCAAATCATCCAAACTGTTCCAAGGTTGGCGTAGTCCTTCCGAGGAATCAGTGATGACAATATCCGGTATTCTAAACATCATAGTTTTCTCAGTCGCTATGAAGTCTTTGTCGTGTATTGAAGATCTTTTACATTTGATCACCACTATAACTATTATGATGATGAATATTATAACTGGTAATGGTAGAATTAAACACCAAATTAAACTCATTTCTTCTAATATTTCATATTTCACGTAACCCGGCGAAAAGTTCAAGTTACCTACTGAAATCTAAAAGATAAAAAGATTCTTATCGAATTTGTCATTCTGATGTAAATGCAGATATTTTTTCTGTAGATGATTACCGTATGCTGTCCATGAAATGACGAGATACTTCTTACAATCTATAGAATGTTTTATCCATAACAATCATACACCGCTAACCTTTCAAAAAAACACTTTTAAAACTGAACTGACTTTACAAGTATATGTTTAAAACTAAACAGCTAATTCCTCACACATAGCAATTATTGATCAAGGGGGAATATTAGATGACAAAACATTATTTGATTGAAAAAAAAAACTAAATACCTGAACTGGATAAGTGGAGTCATTGAATTGATTAATATCAAGTAATTTACATGATAATTGTGACTCTGTAAGACTTTCTACACTGCAGTTCGATGATCCAACCATAACTGTGACATCTTCGGTTGAAAAGGTAGACGATAGGTTTGCTCCCTGCAATGGCAAGATAGGTATATGGTATTAAGGTAGCAGTATCACATCGAGGCGCAATGTTCAAAGGATTTTATGAATGCTGCTGATACAGATGTTTCCTAAAAACAAATCATTGCTCATTTCATATCTGTAGTCATCTTAAGGATTTATGAATAATACTAACCTCTATAATCAGAAGAGCATCTCCATTATCTATTACAAGAACTAGCGTTCTATTGACCTCTTCAAACGCATAGAATACAGGATCTTCTTTATATACATATGTTTTACATGGATTCCATTTGTCTTCACCTCCATCCAAAATAAAATGAAGTTTCATCTCATTGGTTGTACCGTTTGGCTTTGGTGGTATTTCACACACCATTTCATCGCGAGATTTGACGAAACATCTCTAAAAGAAAGTAGTGACTCTGGTTATTTATGCAGATAGCCTACTTAACACCTGTCTCAATTCTAATACATCATATTGTAGTTTTGTCAAATGTAATGGGTAGTAAAGATAAGCAGAGCCATTCTGAACCCTCTCAGACCAATAAGTATCCTCACCCAAACTCTTTGGCTCCCAAAGAGTGTAAAATGGCTTACCAGGCAAAGTAAACCATACGTCCACATAGCAGCTTTGTTTTTAGACTCAATAAGAAGCAATCACAATGATTAATCTGTCAAGTTTTTATCCAATACTCAGAAAAGTAATCAACTCCTTACTGAAGACCTTATCAATTCCAATGATCACACAAAGTTTCAAATCGAATGAAACTTGCAGATTCTATTGAGCTCACGAGCAAATTTGACATGTTTTAAGTCCACGGCAATATAAATGAGAAAACGGTCCTCAAATTCAAACTCATTCAATATCTCATCAATATATACGATCCAAATTTCATTTAAATCGGATGGAAATAGTCTCTATAGTGCTCGGGAACATATTTTCAATAACAATAACTCAAAATCTCTTCATCAAAAAACTGCCAAATTCGAACTTGACTGAGATCTTATCAATTCTAATGCTCATACTAAGTTTCATTAAAATCCATTCAAAATTGGAAAATAGTGCCCTCAAACAAGTTTTGACGCGATTTCACTTAGTCACGGCTCACGGCTAATAACTCAAAAACCATTCATCGATGGATCGTCAAATTTGAATTTGAGATCTTATTAATTCCAATGCTCACATCAAGTTTCATCAAAATCGATTGAAAAATTGTAGCTTCTATTGTGCTAACAAAAATATTTTGACACGATTTTAGAAAGTCAAGGGCAATAACTCAAAATCCGTTCATCGAAAAATCGTTTGAACTTGACCGATATCTGGTCAATTTCATCAAAATCAGATGAAAACTGCTGTCTCTATCAATCAACTTAATAAGAGTAACTAAATGGAAACTAATGGTAACTAATGGAAACATTCCGAATGAAGGGGTACCAGTTGTACATGTAACTCGAAGATAGCTTGCCAAGCAAGGTAATATACGCCTACTAGCAGCTTTGATTTTAAATAAAAATATTTGGCAGTACAGTAACAATCATCAGTATGAAATATTCAACCTTCAGTCATACTATGCACTTCATTTTAACTCTTTTGGACGATACTGAATAATATTGAGTATGAGTTATTGCCCTTGTTCTTGAAAACGTGTTCAATTTTTTAGCTCGTGAAAACTCTAGAAGGCAAATAATATTCAACCTTCAGCGCGGTTCTGAATAATAAAACCAAGTTTTGTCAAAATCCTGCAAGAGTCAGACCTTTTAGTATTTAAGAGCTAAAATTTGAAAGCGTTTTCAAGAACGATAACTCCTATGAAACATTTTACGATTTTTGTTTTTCGATAGGGTTTATCCATGGGTGATAATTAACGATTTCACCAAGTTTCGTCAAAAACTTTCAAGAATTGAGCATTCTAGAATGTTAAGAGCTACAAATTGAACACGTTTCAAGAAACAGGGCAATAACTCCTACTTAATATTTTAAATTTTCTGATGTTCAATAAGATTCATCCTTGGGTGTTAACACACACACCAAATTGCGTCAAAATCTGTCAGGAGTTGTGCCATCTATAGAGTGTTTACGAGATAAACAGGGTTCATCCTTGGCGATAACTCACACGCACACCGAGTTTCATCACAATTTGTCACAAAAATTGAGTTTTCAAGAACAGGGGCAATTACTCATACTAAATATTTTTCGATTTTTCTGATTTTAATAGGGTTTATCCCTAGGTGATAACGAACACTCACACAAAGTTTTGTCAAAATTCGTCAAGAATTGTGTCTTGTAGAGTGTTTACGAGGAATTGTGGACGGACGGACGGACCACCATTTCATGTAGGCGTATAAAAAGAGGCGCTTCATTCAGTTTGCAATTATTGTTTGCATAGTAGCTACATAGCTGTAAATAGTTTTCTGATAATTTAAATCTCATTGTGTATATTGAGGAATATCTTAAGGATATTATTTCTAAAAACAGGTACAAGATCATCTACATTCAACACAAAAATATAATTATGATGTTTCTTTGCATTGTGTTAAAAGCATACAACAAATACTTGATATCATTACCTTATGAACTATTGAACCGTTTAGAAATGTAAAGAATGGTTGTGCAACTGAATTTAGATTGGATCCAAACACTGATAACAATGCTCCTCCACTGAAATAAAAACGAACTGTCATACGAAGATGGGTGTAAACATTCAGAAAACGAAATTTGTAACAAATAAGATACCAAAAGCTATTACTATATCACCACTAATACTAGACTTTTTTTTCAACAAATTGGACGTCTATCATTCAAAGTTGCTTTGATTACCACATACACTAGCTCTACTCACACATATATTTTGAGTAAGGGGAGATTCGGGGAGATGAATCGTTGTGTCGTTTTGGAAGAATTGGCTCTGACTTTAGCACTACATTTCATAATAGTTACATGCTAACCTATTGAATGTTGTCTTTGGTGAAATATCATCAACAACGGGATTCGGTCTGTATTCAAACTCCCAGTTTACACCGGTAATTATATCTTCATTATCAACGTAATACTGTAAGTCTGATGTAATGAAAGGTGTATCATTGTTGTTTTCCCTGACATCAGAGTACAGTGGTTGAGTTTTACACTTAATTTCATCTTCAGACAAACTGTATAAATACAAAATATCTGCTTAGTCTTGCACGAAGAAACATACATTACATGTATTTTCTAACCCTCAATAAATAAGAAAATTGAATGAAATTAAAAAACAAAATTTGACAAAGCCCCCTAACTGAGTGTCATCGTATGTTGATTAAGAGTGGGTTAGCTATGGAACACCCGGTACAGTAAATTGTTTAGTAAACCTTAATATCTAAAAATGTAATCTTACACCTCTGCCCTGCAGACCCGATTTGAAAGATCGTCCAGAAAGCTTGTCAGATCAGTTACAATTCGCCAAATGTGGTTACCTAATTTGGTAGAACTATAAGTTCTAATAATATCCAGTATTTCTTGGGTGGGATCCATCTCAGTTCTGTTCTTGTGTATGTTTTGAAATAAACAGTTTGATCTAATTTTAATTAGACTGGTCATATTGTGGTCGTATTGGCGAAGTTGG